AAACTGTTACTGGTTGCGACAACAACAAATTACAGGGCGTTTTCGTCGTTCATTAAAATTCCTGAAAATGTTACGTTATTTTACTAAACGCTAAATATTTTATCTGTTGATTCTCAGAAATAAAATTTATTATATACATACCATTTAATAGTCAAGTATATACATATCAAAGGCAAGTATATACTTACTAGATACTTGTTCCTAGTTCTAAGCTCTTAAAATGATTTAGTTACTTAGTTACTTGTTGCTGATTTTAAGAAGAGTTTCTGTTATGTTTTTAGTTAGTAAATATTTTATTTGAATTGAATAGATATTCTCATTTATTTTTAACATTAGTAGTAATAGTAGTTTCGTCCATGGGACAGGCTAAACTTTATTCGATTATTATTTAACAGGATTGACCATAATACGCAACCTATTTTTAATAATGTCAAATTTCCTGTTCGTCCATTAGGACAGGCGAAGGAACTTAATCATACTGTCAAATCTTAAGTAGATTATTTTATGAGGCAAAGCAATCAAAAAAACGATTTAAATAAGCAAGATAAATGCATCTTGTTTTTTTTTGGTGTTTTTGTAAAGCTGATAGCTAAATCTATATTATTATTTTATTTTCAATCAGCAAAATCTTGATTTACTATGTCTCTACCAGGTTTTATTATTTACTTATCCGGGAAGGTCAAATGAGATTTCTCCATGAGTGGAGCTAATATAGTCATAAATCGGTACAAAGTTTTCTGGGCAAGCTAAGAAATCCTGAAGGGAAGGGAATATTTATAGTCAAATAGAGAACTACAAAGCCCTGTGTCGACTAGAGTCATGCCAAGTCTAATGTTTCTTATTTTATTTATTTATTTATATAAATAAGTCGGCTCGAATATAAGTAATTACAGTAATCGACGCAAATGTGTCAAAGTAATCTATCATTTCGATTTGTCGCAGCGAGCCTAGTGGACGTTAGGCCCTAGGACAAAAAAAAATCAAAGATTTTGTGTTTTGCCAAATCAAGAAAAAGGTAATGAAAACCTCAGAATAATATTAAAGCAAAGTAAACCTGAGATGAAAACGGACATAAACGGTCAGAAGTCGAAGCTACCCCCGGCAGACGACTAAAGAGCCTCTTCATTAGGGGTGACACATATTTACTAGAATAAGTTTTTGCTTGGACTTCTAAATAGAAGTATCGACTTACTCATAATGGCATAGCGCTATCTGTTATTTCAAAATGGAACCAATATTTAACAACCAAATGAAACGCATAGACAAGTATATGCAAAAAGTTTTTAACGTAAAAATGAATACTTAAAAGCACCATTCGCACAGAACTATAATGCCATCTATTAAAAACTAATGTAAACAAAATGTATGTTAATATTTTAGAAGTGTAAATTTCCACTTTAACTGCTGTAGAGGCTGTAGATATACATTTTTTGTACTTTGATTAATTTAATGTAATTCGTTATTTTTGTTTATAAAGCTTAATGCTAACCACCAATGTATAATTTTGTAATTCAGAATATTGTGCAGAGCGAATATATGTGTTTACACATGAAATACAAGATCATTACTTAATTAATTACTTAATATAAGATCATTACTCAAATGGATGCCCGTGCGCAGACACATACAAATTTTATCCACCCTTTTCTCACTTTTAGACCCACCTAATGCTCCTTCCTATTTTACTCCCCATTCTAAATTCTAGCCCACAAGTCTCTCTAAAAATCTACGTTCTGCTTCTAATCGTTTTTTCACGTGTCCATCTCATCACGTTAATGTAGTTAATTATTTCTTCTTTATTAACTAAGTCACTTCTATGGAACTCTCTTCCTTTAGACCTAAGAATGTCTACCAATCGGTATGCGTTAAAAACGAAGTTATCCAGCTACCTTTTAGAGCAAGCAGATTCGTTTAATGGTCAATCGTGTATGTATGTATGTTTTTATGTATATTATATTGTATTTATCTTAAAGTATATATACATTAATTAGCTTATATCTATTGAATTGATGAATTAGAAATTGTGTTTTTATCCAATACTTCACGAAGAACTCGATGGTGCAATGATTAGTGCGTTCGGTCTGCGATGTGGAGGTAAAGCAACATTCGTAAAAAAGGTCACAGGATTGGTGACTAAAATTTGATTATCTCGTGTTCTTCTGTGGTGTGCTGTGTAGAAAGAAGTAAGGCCGCGGATTTCGGCTGCATGTACAGTCATTACCGCATTTTTAGGATTCCGTGTCCAAAGAAAACGGGAACTCTATACTAAGACTTCACTGTCGGTCTGTCTCATGAACCGTTGATGAATTTCTGTTAAAAACACACAAATTATAAAAAACAGAATAAAATAAATATTTAAAAGGCTCCCCATAAAACAAAGGCGATTTTCTTGCTCGTTATTTATGTAGGGAACCGTTCGTGCGCGAGTCTAAATCGCACTTAGACTGTTTTTTATTTTATTAATTTGAAAATGTTGTATAATTTTCTTTGCAGTTTCTTTAAAGAATTTTAATGACTTATTTGGCTGAAGTTAGTTTTGTTTGCTTCTTAACTTGACTGAAAAAGGCTGTTGAATACCCAAAGCTTCTCTTAAACCTTTTAGCGTAGATAAAACAAACAACTATGTTTTATAAAAAGTATGCACTTATTTACTTTGCTTCTATTTATATCTTTTTAAAATTTAATATTAACAGACAAAGGCTTCATAAATAGTTTTTATTGTAAATGATAAGACTGGTATTTAATTAATTATGGTGTATTATTTTAGTTTTATCTATAAACAAATCACATCAATATTTCACTGATACAAATAATTTAATGAGAACAGTTCTTTAAATTATTCGACGAGTAAAACATACAGAACGCTTACAAAATTATCTTGGTAGGTAAACTATTTTATATTAAATTAAAAGGGAATATTACGAAAAGCTCAGCGTAGATGGCAACACTAACAAATGTAGGAAACAAACATCTTTGTCGAACATTATTATTTCTTTTGAAAATGTTTCCCTTCCCTTCTTTCGTGAGACGAACTTTATTATATGTGCTAGTGTTGCAACCTGCCTCCTTATTCTGTCACTCTGAGGACAATCGAAATACATTGTTCACAGAGCTCAGTGGCCATGCGATCATACGAATAATTAATTTTGATTACAACGCCAAGCTGTCAGTTGAATTACCTACAGTAATACGTCTTATACAGATGTAGAGAGTTCTGTAAGATAAAACATACAAAGATCTGTTAGAAACCATATCATCGATTTTAATGAAAAGAAAAACTGCATTCATACATTAAAAAAAATCTAGTTCTTAGATCGAGAATTAGACGCAGAGTTTTGAAAAATAAAACTTACCTTTTTTATACATAGGTACATATAGATTGTGTAGGTCATAATCACTTAATGTTACTACTACGAAACACGATTTCTTAAATTAAAGAAGTATAGCATAAAATGAAATAGAGTTTCTTCTCAGTTTTTTAACAATTGTTCTAAAAAACGGTTTTATAAAGAAAAAATCCTTAATATAATATGATACCTCAATTAATCAGTTTCTATTCGGAATAACAACTAGCGTCAACACTAGATAGCGCTACTTATATTCTAAAACAAGGAAAACATATTAGACCATTATATAAACAGATAAATTTATTCAAAAATAAATGATGTATGTTTAAAATACCTAATTCATAAATAATTAAATTGTAATATAATGGACATGTAAAAAAAAATTTTTGTTACCAGCTACTAATAATAGAAGCTAGCCGACCAAAACTTAAGAATATGATTTTCATTTCAAAGGAAAAAAAAAACAATATCAAACATATTGTAACAGGTATTGTTATGTCGGTAAATGATGCCCACCAAGCGTGTATCCAAGTCGAATTGGATACATGACTGGAACTCGATTTTGCAAGGGTCACAAAATCGAGTTCCAGTCAAGACTATGTACGCAGTCCTCATGTAAGGGCCGTCACAAAGTCGAGATTCAGTTAGAACAATGCATTTCATATAAATTTATTAACATTACAAAAAATAAATGGTCGACCGGCACAATGCTTTAATACCCACTTATCGTTAAAAAGCTTAATTTTTACTACTGGAAATTTACATAAATCCATATTATTTTTTAATTTACACGAAGAAAACAAAAAAAAATTCAAGCAAACAATAATATAATATATCCTTAGATCGTAGAATCTTTATTTTTCCGAAAAATGTAATCTGCGTAGATACTCCGCGAATATGCGGTACTCTTCTCCATTAGGCGATTAATCCTCAGAGGCCTATCCACTAAAAACCCTACGCTGTTAATGAGGACACGACCGAATGTCAACCCGTGTATAAATAACGCCCTCAGCGAAAACAGCCCTGCGATAAAAATCCAAACCAGCACGCGTAGCATGACAAACTCGAGAAACGCTTTGTCTACACTCAAATGTCACTTTTCTCGGGTGCGCCCATACGATATCTCACTCTCGACCCGAGAAACTAACAAATGAGTGTAGACAAAGCGTTTCTCGAGTTTGATTTCACTCAGGTGTCAGAATTCTCTTAAAAAATCGGCATATGCTCAATCTTGAATTAGTAATAACGTTTCGTAGCACAAGTGAAATGAGTTTCGAAATGATATAGGAATAGAATATTTGAAACACGTACAATCAATAAATTTTAATTCTGTGTGTTTTTTTTTAATACAGTCAATAGAATTTTTTCACTATTTAACGTGAATACGGACACGAGTGTATTTTGATTTAGGTTCGGTTTTTTACAGAATCGTACTGCAGGAACGGGGGTCAACGTGAATGTAACGTTCTTAACCTCTTCACCGGGATCAACCCGGGACTCGCTATTTAAACTTTCTACGATCTGAGTAAATTTCATTCTTATACTAGTTAATATTTTATAAAAAAAAAAAACAAACATAAAACACACCGGTACATAAGACATTAATCCATCATTGAAATGGAATAAATAATAACATCGTGATTTCAAGTATTAAAAATTAAATTTGTCTCTTTGAAAATGTCACTTATACCTATTTGTAACAGATTATTATGATTTCTATCTATCTTTGCCTAAAATACCTTGCAGGGTATGCAGAGCTATGTACTGATTTTCATTATTCCACAAGTGGCTCTCTCAAAGCTCCTAGAATATTGTCTCGCTTCGTATAATACTTGGGCGGAGGGTGGCAATGTTCTTCATAAGCCGAAATGACAACGTTGTTCAAGTCCGTGAATATTACGCCACGACAATTTTTCGTGTTGGAACACACCCATCTAGTCTTGTCATGTCTGGTATACTGCTTTCTATACGTAAACTGTCGGAAGAATAATATCTCTTTTCCTTTACGCGACGTGATGACAACTGCTGGATCTGTCAAAAGAATATAAACAAGTTTTTGTTTTAACCAGCTTTGAGTCCACTCAATGACGCAGTGGCTAGCATATCTGCGAAGGTTACCCAAAAAGCTTTCACATGGGTCAGTCAAGGGTTATGTGACACAAAAACTAAACATCTCAAGCTCCTCGGTGCTTCGAAATTAATTCCGGCTGAATCTATAGTCGTCAACACTCACCAATCGGTAAATGGATGTTCTCGAATTAATCTGTGTTTCAGAAAGCAGGTTAGGTCGAATGTGCACTGGTGCTATAATAAGTGTTAACACTTATTATAATCTAACTAGTCTGTCCGCTTTAAGCCTTGTGTTTGTGGATTATGTTTAGCTCGTTACGTATGTGATTATATTCTGACCTGTGCATCAAATATTTTTTCCGCCGTACCGCATTATGCACGAGAAGGCTTGACTAAGAAACTAAAAATATAAGCAAATACTGATCGTTTCGAATAACGCTACGGATACTCGTAGGAACAGCTACATACATTCAAGAATCGCACAACTATGTAATATATGTTAGGATGTGATATTGATATTTAATGTAATTCTCCAAATATTTACATAAAACACCAATTAGCAATGACGACCTTACAAATTGCCCTTGTCTAGATGCAAAATATGTAAACTGAACATATTTGCTAGATTTAAATTTACATTTGAGTATTTACTACTTGACATGCTTGATGATTGGTTTGGTTTTAATTGATGTCTAAGTAATGAAAAAGGCAGATTATAAAATATTAACATTTCAACACTAGGATCATTGCGCGAGAGTACTGCCAGAACGAGACATCGGACGGCACCTGAATCGTCACCTCCTAAGGTTGAATTTATATATTTATAGTACGTACCATCTTGATTTTCATCAATTGTTTCCAGTATAGATTGTTTGGGATGCGAGTGTGATTCGTTCGCAAAAATGATTTCATCGTCCAAATTCAAGTACACAAACGCACCACAATTCTTATTAACGGAGCATATCCATCTATTGCCAAGTTTAGTAGAGTATGCTTTTCTGTATCTACGTCCTTTATATTGCAGTATGGTAGTGCCCCTTCTAGATTTTATGAATACTGCTTCTTCATCATCACCGTTGTCTTTGTCAGTGCTTTCATCGTCTGCGTAGATGGCAAAGTATTCAACGTCTTCTGGAATTTCGTGGAGTGCTTCATCTGTCAATAACAATAATAGTTTTACATGAATTGTTACCTACATTACGACCAATTTTAAATACCAATAAAATTAGTTACTAAACTTAAATTAAAATAAGAGACATCGTTAAATAAAACGATATAATTTTATTCTTGTAATTCGTAAATGTTAACTTAAATAAAACATTTGAGATCAATACTATTGCAGACAAAAATGAATCTTAAACAATTACAACAAAATCAAAGTGAGAAGACGATCAATCGGAGATTTAAATGTTATGTTACAAAAATTTTAGGTAGGCAACATGAAAGATGATTTAACACATTAAGACGATTTATCACATAATTCTGTCTTGAAACACCCGGCATAATATAGGTTCATGGGTGTGTTTATTCCCAATGAACTGGACTTCGAACTTTTCATTCACGTAAACGTAAACATGACATTTGGTGTGAGTCAGCTCGTTGCAACACCATTTCGTAATACCACCACGTATTTGTATTTCTCTTCTGAACGTGTAACCGTTCACAATGAGGAGTGTTCTGCCACTGGACAAACTGATTACTGTAACTAAAGAAAAAACGTTTTGCCCCAAAGTAAGCACTTGAATAACTCTAACTACGACAGCTAAATACGACGGTATAGCTTCTCAACCCCATGTTCCATAGTGTATGAAACATGATCGTTACAGTGAAATTTAGAAATGTGTAGATTGGTATTATTCTGAGGTCTCTCGGAAAGTTTATTACCTTTGCAAAAACTACACTATTTAAGTTTATCATTGAAATCAATATAATTTACTAGATTAAGCGTGCGACATATTACATCTTAATACCTAAACGAAATATAAGGATGGTACATCCTTATTATTTCCTCATATATATGTTACCTTAGTAGTAATTACAGTTAGTTGACAAAAAAGTTACTTATCACTAACTTTACTACAATTTTTACAGGTTCTAGTCAACTATATTTACCTAAATATATAATAAATACGAGTAAATCACTATGACATAAGACATATATGAACAACCTATACTTAGTCACTTACGTGGTAGGTATATTATTATGAGATCATTAAAAATAAAATTTCATAGTTCCAACTAACAACCTTTTGTATGTAAATAGTATTTGAAAGTTAAAGTTTCAGTTACATAAAGAGAGAGAATTGGTATGATAGTCATGGATGGCCAAATCTCAATTTGTAAATAACCTTTAAAATTTTGGGCACCTGACGACTTTAGCAGGAGAAAGTTATGGTGCTTCGTCAAATATCACTATGATTGTCCATATCCCAAATAACTTTCACTTTATTAGAATATGAACATTTTCCAGGGCTAACTGCCGAATGGAAGTAGAAAGTAAATTGACTATTCATATTAAAATTATTAATATAATTATTATTGCAAAAATGTTCATAAAGAAAATATTGACTCTGAGCCTTTTGAAGCTTTGACTTTGATCCTTCTAAACGGTAATTACAATTTAATATATCTCCCTTCTTTTGTTTTATAGAACTTGGGCGGTTCATGATTATGGTACCTATCGTAATGGGTTATGTTTCCATCATTATTGAATCGTATTTTGGCTTTACATTTAGTTGAGGTCCTTCTTGAGCAGCACCAATATCGATTGTCACTCGTCACCTGATAGTAAGTGTAATTTGCCATCAACAGCACAGATCGCTTGCATTTACTAGACGGAATCAGTGTATATTGCAAATCTGAAATCAAATGTTCATCAAAGATTATCGTTTTAGTAAACAGTTGCATGTCGAGAAAGCAAAGAACGTGTGATACCTACGTTATTTATGATGGCCACAACACACGGACTAAAAATAGGGTAGAAGACTCGGTTTTCACTAGTGTCCTCTTTTTGATCATTTGGTCATTCAACATGTCATTTTTGCAACAAAACACAATTGCTGGTCATGTTTTTACCTAATTTACAGTTTGTGTTTTTAAATATTGCTTTTATTTGTGTAGATCTTATATTAATTATCATATTGTACGAATCCCTTTTGGCAAACTTTTCTTAGTGATATAAACTAAGACTTAGCCTCCAAAACTACCTATCCCTCAGCCTAGCGTACTCAAGATTCGTATCCCTCTGCTTACGCTGCAAAGAATCTACAGTTAAGATGTAGAGTTCCAGTCCACACTTTCGAAATATCGGACAATAGCTAGTATTGTTCGAATGTATACAATTGAACGTTGCTAAATATCATGATTCGCCTTCTCAGTTAAAATTAAGGATTGTGGTCTAATTTTGAAAGCACTTTTCTGTTAAAAGTAGAGGTAATATGCCTAATGTAAAATAAGGCCCACCTAATAAAGACATTATTTAACGTATTGATTAAAATAGACAAAAATTACTTTACAGAAATTTAATTTGTATGCAACATTCAAAAATCTAATGTTATAATCTACACTCATCCAGTAAAACAATGACGCTATTGCAAAAACTCAAAGATTCCATTTTGATAAGTACAAGCTGTGGAAGTGGGGTGCGTGCAGAAGAAAAAAAAACGGAAAGCTGATGTGGTGAAAAAAAAATTGAATGTGGCAAATGATGGCTTATCGAGAAGTGTGGGCAAAGATTGAGACAGAAGCAAGGAAATGATGACGATGAAGTCCTAATTGCGTTTAGACAGGAAAAGGTTAAATACATAACTATGAATATTGCTTATAAAAAGAGATCTTTTCAGCTTCTGTGAAATAATCTCTTAGTTTATTATGACGCTTAACAAATAAAACTTAACTATTTATATTTAATACTGACAGATTCTGCAGAAAATTAAAAAAAAGGTAAATGTGTAACCACTTTTCACACTACGTGTAAATTTCGATATAATAAGCACAAGCTGCAGTTGGAAGGGAAAGCAAGGAGAGAAAGACGTACGAAAATATGTGTAAAAGATATTGTGGGTAATAATGCACTGAATATCCGAGAAGACGTCTTATTAAGAAGTATGAAAGTGTACATATTACACTGACATCAAATTAAACAATTGGGACAAGCAAATGCATGGAGCACCTGCTGCAGGGGCGCTATGTAATAGATGTCAAATCTTTAGAATCTATCAGAAAGTGATTTTGATCTCTGTTTATTCCTCTGGTTTCTCTTTCTCAGTTTCCAGATAACTCTTGCACTTGATTTTTCTTTTAGTGTTAAATCTTTAACCAATTTCTTCTTCGCGTGATAACTTTCTCTTTTCTTTCTCTTGTATTCTTCGTATTTTTGGGGATCTTTTTTTAATTTCTCTTTATACCGTCTTTGCTTTTCAGCAGGTGTTAATGGTCTCGTTTACCTAAAACAATTAGGACGAGTAGTCAAAAAAGACAAAATTTATGTGATAAAAGGATCAATCAGACATAAAACTTTAAATATTTGAATTTTAACTAACGTGCAATACGACCTACATCTGCACAGTATATTTATCTGACTTTTTATTTCGTTTAAGCACTAAAAATATCTCCTTAACCATCCATAAGGAAGGCCTGAGCCCCCGCAGTGGGGACGTAAAAGGGCTGGTGTTGTTGTTGTACTAAAAATACATTAAGGACAAAAAACAGTTAATTCATCCCTACAATTTGACAACAGTCTAACTAACACTTTTGGCATTATTATACCTGTAACTCTTTTTCTAAGTATGCTTAGCTAAGATAATATGCAATGGAAAATAAAAATAAAAAATCTTTAAAAACAACTCTAAAAAAGCGCTAGCGATAGCGTCTAACCAAATTAGAAAGTTCAGGATGTCGCTTTAAAAATAATCTTAGCCAGACCTTGCCCACTAAACCAATATTCTCATTAATGCTATGTTTAACATTGCAATTTTCTAAAAGTAAATATACCTGCCTGCGTATAACTCTAATCTTCATTGCCAAACCATTATTTGCTAATTCAAATAACCAGCTTTGTCAGCTGGTTATTTGAATTTTATTTGAATTTTATTTTATTTGAATCATTTTCTTGTCTTGGAGTCAATAATGATTTGCGTCCTAAATTTTTAGAATGCTCCCCGATATCAAATGGTTTCTTAGTGTCTGTTTGGGTTTATTATAATGAACTGCCGCGACGTGACATGTCATTTGGCCGTTTTTCACTGCCGCCATGGCTGCACGTAGGCTGTCTTCGGACCACTGAGCTCGTCTTAAACGTTTTGCAAACGAACCTACCTACAAAGAATGGGTATGAAGAAGTCATAAATAATTTACCTAGTCTACCAGATTGGGCCTTATTACGCATATCGTTTAATAATAAAGGAAAATCATTTCTGGATAATAAAAAAATGTGATTCAGAATTTTATTGTTATATGTTGGTGTCAACAGTTTTTCAATTGTGTTTATTTCGTTTCTCTAATTAAAAATGAACATACAATTAAATATTTTGCTTGCTTTTTAAATCGGTCATGTTTCAATATGCCAAACGAAATTATGCGAAATTACATTTGCCAATATAAAACATATCAAATGAAATCCATCTAATAATACGTCATTGTATATTAGATTATGATTAATAATTTCTAAGCCTTATGAGCATTCGTCAAATGATTCTGCCTGATAAAGGTCCCCCCTATTGACTGAACAATAAATTGAAGAAGTATGTAACATAAATGATTTTTATTCATTTTAAACAACATAAATACAATACTCCATTTTCCCAAATTGTAATAATACTGATAGGTAAAAATATTTGCTTCCAATAATTCGGTAACAAAGTCAGGTAAAATAATTATCTCACGCTCTTATTTAAAATTGTCACCAAAAATTTGCGTTACCTACACATTTATTGATTAGTTTGCTGAGAAAAAGCGGCAAACAAGCGCTTGTTAAGAATATGAAATCAGCGAGCATTTGTCTTTTCACAATGCTGCAGTATGCAGGCTACTGCGGTGTTTGTCTTTTTATTGTAACCATTCACTCAATGAGGACACATATGGAATGGCAAATAAATTTAAAAAAAATACAGAGAAGCTGCGGGTAGAAAGAATGTAAGGAGAAAAAAACATACGAAAACAGGACGGTGTGAAAGATAAATAGGTTAATTTTTTTCCTATAATATTTGCTAACTCACGTGAATATTGATAAAGTTATTTTATTTCTCCAGAAAAAGATGAAAAATACAATTATAGATACACATGATGCGATGCGCGATATGTGTCTACTTACAGATGCAAGTAAATAATATATTTATCTATCTAAATACATTATTGACAATACATATTAGGCTACTCCACAGAACATAGAGAGAGAATAGAAGTATAATGATATTGATTTAGTATGGGAACCGACTGTCGCCACTCCGCACACAAATACAGATTAGATGAAATGATCATTTTGTTCACTACATGAACAACTGCCACGCGATACGTTCGTGATAACATAAACATAATCCCAAAAAGATACTAAGCTAAGAAATCACACGATTAAAAACAAACTCTAATTCAACGTGATAATAAATAATTTACTTTAACATGAATGTTGAACTGTCACGTGGCTGTATACGGGGATACCAGAAGGGAAAAAATATTTTAAGATTATGCACCTTTAAAAAAATTGGGGACATCATTTTATGTGCGAACTATTAAGCTTAGATTTTGCTGTAACCAAGTGAATATTAAAAAATAACGCTTTTCCCTATATAACTTCTTTTAAAAAACGCAGTACAAAAACTAAGAAAACTTAATGATAAACTCTATCATATGTCTGTGGAGTAATATAATTAAGCGAGAGAAAGTGTAAAAAAAAAAAAATTAAGAAACCAACAGAATTTTTGTATTAATTACATTAAGCCTAATTTGTAATTTTTTCTTACTGGTATCATTCCGATTGTGCATATTAGTGATGTGACATAATAGTAGTTGATGAAATGAAAGGTTTAAATTTTGTTATGAAACAGTAAAATGTAATTCAGTTCGACAATATTCTACAGTTGTTTGATAGTAATTATTTAAAGCTTAATTCAAATAAAATGAAATACATAAAGTTTGCATTACCTAATGTGAGGCATATTAATACACTTATAAATGTAAATAGTGAAAAAGTTGAGTTGGTGAAATCGACAAAGTTCCTTGGTATTACACTAGATTCCTGACTGCAATGGGATCCTCATATTGATAATTTGTCAAGTAGACTGAGTTCTGCAGCATTTGCTGTTAAGCAAATTAGACTCTTGACAAATGTTGAAACGGCAGGATTGGTATATTTTAGTTATTTTCATAGTGTAATGACGTATAATCTATTGTTGTGGGGTTCTGCGGCTAGCATTCAAGATATTTTTATTCCACAAAAGAGAGCTGTCCATGCTATATATAATTTACGGTCTAGAGAATCTCTCAGAGAAATATTTAAAGAAATAAATAATTTGGCTGTTGCCTCTCAATAGATCAATGAAAATATTATCTACGCAAGAAAACATTACGATTCCTTCACAAAAAAAGTAGTGTTCATAATCATAACACAAGAAATAAAAATAAACTTGCCGTTCCAAGCTTCAGACTTCAGAAAACCAGAGGATCAATGCATTTACATTGCTATGTTCAATAAAGTTCCACAAAATGTAGTTGACCTACCCATAAATAAATTTAAAATTCATGTAAAACATACTTATGAGTAAAGGCTATTATAAAGTTGATGATTATTTTAAGAATCGCAATGCATGGAATGAATAGCCATCGCTTTGTTCT